ACGATTTAAATTATTATAATTATTTTAACTCTGAAGCAAAACCTATATGAAGAAAATAAACCAAAAAGCCATTTTTATCTTGGTGAAAAGAGCCCAATGCAAAAATTATCCAAAATAAAAACTATACAAATTCATTTGAATAGATGTATTGGGAAGTACATACAACGATAAAGGTACATTCGCCGTGAGTTTAATCGTGCGAATGAAAAAACGAAAGATGAAAAAATGCGGTATTAAAAATTTAAACGGTATCCAATATTTTGGAGTTCGTTATAAAAGTGTAATTTTGTGTACTATTAAACTAAATTGGGACTAAGAAATGAGTTCCTTATAAGCGATAATTCCTTATAACCGTATTAGCTATAACCATATATATTTTTATATTAAATAAAGAAGGTCAAAATTCGGGCCAAAATAAATTGTTCCCTATAACCGGAAGTTCGCTATAACCGTGTTCACTATAAACGAAGATTACTGTAATATCAATATGATATGAGCTGTGTCACAACAAAACCAACATAATGGGTTTGCGACCAGCATGGATCCAGACCAGCCTGCGCATCTGCACAATCTGATCAGGATCCATGCTGTTGGCTTACCAACCCTATTACAAGTAGAGAAACTGATAGCGAACAGCATGGATCCATCCTGATCAGACTGCGCGGATGCTCAGGCTGATCTGGATCCATGCTGGTCGCAAACGCACTCTGTTGGTTTTGTTGTGACGCGGCTCATATCAAGCCTTTAAAAACATGATCATATCTCATGTATGTATCATAATGATGTCTTCAACATCATTATAACAACAGAATATTAACTTTGATATCAAAATGCATAAATATAATGATATGAAAAACAATATCAACATTATATCAACTATGGTTACACAAATGGCCTGTTCCATTGGGAAAATGGAAGAGCTACCAGAATTAGAAGAGTTCTTCAGGACTGTTTGATTGGTCACCTTGAACACCCCTTTATTTTCAGAAGTTCTTCTATCTATTCTACCTAGTTGACGTGGAAAAAGTCATGTGCTCAAACAGCAAGGCTAACAAGGAATAGTGAGTAAAATAAAACATTTTAATACTGCAGTTGTTTACATTTTTACTTTCTTCTGATTAAGAAAACTAATATTTTATCACAATTCAAGCAAAAAGTCATTTGGACGCAATTTTGAAATGGCTGCCAAAAATTCAATTGGCCTTCTTTTCTGAGGTCTTCTTGTATGCCAATTTTCTTCCCAGAAGAGCCCAATCCAAAACTGTATTAGGACTATTATATTTTTGAAAGTTTTTTTTACTTTTTCAGACTTAAGAACTTAAAAGATAATCAAACATGCCAATATAAGAAATTACAAATAAACTCATTTATGCCTACTGCAATGAACCTTCCGGTAGCCATGCCTCTGTTTAAACAACCGTCCAGTTATTAATATTTAACTAAGTATAAGATCAGCATCTTTTAAAGCATTAAAAATCCCATACCTTTATAAAAAGAAATCAGCCTAAACATAAATGTTTAGTGTCAAACCATTTCAATTACAGACATGCTTTGATTTTTCTGTGCATGCTTAATTGAATGCACTTGATTCAACAAAGCAACAACTTTGATTAACCAAGGGCTAAATAATAAAAGCTTTTTCTTAAAGTCCTGGTCCTAGACAATATAAAGTTTGGTCATGACATTTTTAAAAATCCCACACAGCAATTATACATTTTGATTCTGGTCCAGTTCAATTTAAGGTTTGCTTAGATTAATTTAAGTCTCAAATAGCCAGTAAAAGATGTCCTGAACCAAATTATCAGCAAAACGCCTGTTCAAAATCAATGAGAAACATCTGTTTGCGACAATAATTTAGAAACTAGGAAATAATGCAGCAAAAGAGATAGATCTACTGAAAAAGTAAGTTTTGGTGATCAACTTTCAATATGGTTTGTTATCTTTTAATACAGCAGAACATCTCTAAACCATTTTTATCAATTTAAACCTTCATATAGGGCTGGGATCATTATAATTCAATGACAATGATAAGTCTACTATTCTTAATCATTCACAAGCTAAATTTATATAATGGACTAATCCTGTTTTGAATCTGGAACAGTCCATTACTAGTTTAAGGAATTCCAACATGAAAATGTTAAAATTTTAACATCTTATGGTGTAGAGTCTAGGTCAAACTGTGCAGATATGCAGATAGGGCATTAACCAGGGGTTTAAAAACTGTAAAAGGTCAAAGTTCGCACAATTTCCTGGGGTAAGAGAGGCCCTGCTTACAACTGAATAAAACATAAAGGTTAATATCTGTTTAATCACAAACTAATACCTAATACAGTGAACTATCATCTTAAACTCATTACTAATAAAATAGGATTTTGTTGTAGCATACCTTTCATTTTTGATCCTCCTACGGCTATCAGGGGAGATAAATCTTACATCGTGATCATGTGAATCACTGGATTCTCCCGACACAGAGCTAGAGTACTTACTCACGGAGCGTTCTGTAACAGAAAATGTATCGCATTGCGGGTACATAAGCTCAATTATTATAGTCAACAGTTAACCTACTTAATTTCTTAAAGATCCTGTAACTCAATTTTGTTATGGTTTTATATCATAAATATAATGCTTAAATGAAGATTTATCAATATTGTAAGTTCCAAAAAGCATTATTTTATAAAAATATTACCAAATTTACATTTCATGTTAATAAAGGAAGGTAATTAAAAATTCATTTTCTATAAAGTCTAAGGAAAGTTTTTCAATAAGAAATAAATGCATATATTTTAATGATTACATAGAAGAATGTGAACTAATATTTGCAGTACATATTTTACAGTCATATTCTTAGATGTTTGAAAATTGTTTTAGAAGCATAATTATATACCTACATAAAAATTCCCTTAAGTTTGGTTACAACCTTACATATAACTACAACAAATAAGCTTGTCATCCTTTCAATTAAGTCCATTTCGTGTGATTTTTTATTTTCAAAATACACAAAAATTTTCAAGTAAAAACATGAATTGTACATCATATATAATAATATTTTACTACTTTCAAAATACATTGTATATAATTTTCTAAATTCAAGAACCTCCATGAAGAATGAAAATTATGCAAAAAATGACATAAAATAATTATGCAAATAAATGACAAAAAATAAGGGATTGAAAATCATATTTTCAGCATATTTTGACATGTTACAGAGTATTAAAGTGAAGAATTAAAGTGCATTATTACATATTTTGTAAAATCACTTTATTTGTTAACTTGAAAACTTTTTACCAATGATTTTTATAGGATCATTTTCATAGGATCATTTTTTAAATTTTCATACAAATTAACATAAATTTGGAGGGGTACACTACTGTTTAGTCAAATAATTCCACTGACTCATAATGTATACTTACCAAATTTTTCTGTAATACTCGGTACATGATCAAGTGGTATATGGATCAAACGTTTACGCGGCATAGCTTTCTCTCTGTCTCCTGAACATGATGAGGCCCTATAACATAAAATATCATGAAATATTCTTTAACTTGCTATAGTAATTAAGGCATGGACTTACATTATATATGTTGTATCACATTAAAATTTGAAAATTCAAACTATATGAATGTATGTTTGTATGTTACAAAGTAAAAAGTTAAATAAAACATAAAATGTCTTTCGATTTGAAAAATTTTGGTCCACATTGTTTCAATTAGACAGTCTGTGACACATAATTTCAACAGACTTTATTTCTAGGGTTGGATACCGATAACCGGTACTTAGATCGTACCGAATACCGTTTCATAATTTACCGGTACAGACCGTTTCAAAAAGTACTGGTATTTTTAACGGTATTTTCAAAATTAAAAGCAAAGAATATTTACAAAAAAACAAAGTAAAATGAATAAAATTAACGATTATTTACGTCAATAATATCACAAAAAGAATGCAAAATGGCCATGGTCCGAAATGTCCGTAGTGCAAGTCAAGGGAGATCACTACCGAGTGCACGTGGTAGCGGCGATATTCGTATTTACAAAAACCATTATAATAACATGCTGCATAAATTCAAATACTTGATACAGCATTTGTTGATCACTTTATGATGTATTATTCCGTTTTTATTCCAAAAATTATTGTTACTTGCTATTAAACATGTCTGCAATATTCATTAAAACATTCGAATTTTATACATGTCGTCGCTGATGTCAACAATATTATGGTGGGGTCACGATCAAAGCGGTCTCCGGTCTGGGCACATTTCACTTCTAAGGAAGGAGGTGGTGTTTGCATTTATTGCCAAACGTTTTGCCTTGGGAAAAGTTGAAATACCAGTAATTTAATAAAACACCTGAGACTGAAACACAATTTACAACTGAAACAATGTACTCTATTTGACTCGTTGAAGCCGAAGACTGCTCAAGGAATATAGAATATAGTAAGCAATTTCACAAAGAAGCTTGAATATAATTTTTACTTCATTATAAAACAAATCAAAATAAAATACCTATAGCAATAATGAATACATAATGAATAGGGCTGCTCAAACATACACTTACAAGTATCGAGTATCGGTATCGATAAAATACCGTATCGTTTCACGAGTATCGGTATCGTATCGTATCGTTTCGTTTTTAACGATATCCAACCCTATTAATTTCATTCGGACTGTTTTACAGTATGAAAAACATTTTGTTCTATTTCAATGAGACACATAATTATTATTATAATTTATATATACAAATGTTTTTCGGATTAAAATCCTATCTTTATTAGGTGTATAAAAAGTATTAGTCAACTTTGAAATATGAAAACTCTGGTCACATGGAAACAGGGTTTCTACTAGGCATTTTTATTTAAGAGTCCCAGGGACTCGTGCTCATAAAATATGAGGGTCCCAGAGAAAAATATGAGGGTCCTAATCATTTATTACTTTAAAAGTAAGGTGTTACTTATATATATTGTCTAGGTTTAATTCTTTACATTTATATACATTGTTCAACTACATATGCATTTTTATTGACCTTGTTAAATAAAATAAAAAATATAAACCATTTATTATTTATTGTTACTTTTTATTTTTTCATTTCTTTCATTTGGCTGAATGTTTGTGCAACTTGCATAAAGTCAAGATCTTTCACATCTGGTCCGACTATAATTTTATCAATTGTTTAACTGCATATACGTCTTGATGACGGACAAATGTATCTACTATTTTGGAAGTTCAAACATCCATTTTCTGAGGCAAATGGATTACATTTTATGTTTGAGACGCAACGGCTGCATTTCATATCCGTGGTCGTCTCGTTTTGGACGAGCCATGGGTAAGTTAACTTAGCCACTTTTCATTAAAATTGGGGGAGCAGCCGACATGTTTTACGAATTATTTATAACAAAAAACGCATAGACTGGGACGCTTTTTTAAGGTCGACTAAATTCTAGTGTGCGCCGTTTTTTTTCCGTATTAAACTGTAATTAATTGAAAGAAAGATAACTCTGCTTTATTCAATATAAGAACCCGTCTACCAAATTACGTCATTTCCTTTAAAGAAGCATTTACGGAGGAAAATTTAATTTGCGTCCCCATGGACGCACACTTAGAGTAACTGAGGGTCCTAGGTTACTATTTTTGCGTCAAGGACGCAGGAAATGTGTGTCAATAGAAACCCTGTGGAAATATGCCATTACTGTGGGATTAGTGATGATGTGAAATTAGTGATGTTGACTATACTACCACTCTCCATTAACCGCAATCTGCATGAGTGAATTTCATGAAATCTGTAAAAATTGTACCAGGTATGGTATGGTGTTGGTGCTAAGGTAAAGCAGGGTCTTTGAAAGACCCTGGGTAAAGGGTTTTGAATAAGCATGCAAAAGGTAGTAAGTTATTAATAGTACTCTGATACAAGAAAGGAAGACTTATCAAATAATTAATTTTCAATCATTAAATAAAACTCAAACAAACAAAAAATGCAGACATTGCATCAACTTTATTGCACTTAAAGCAAAGCATATTTAATACTTTAATCAACATAATTAGTTTTAATTTTAGTTAAAGATTGTATTTTTTATTATCAATTATTCTTTTACATTGAATATACATGTATATAAACTAAGCTGTAAGTCAAATAGTCAATTTTAAGAACTGACCATTATCAAATTTAATTATATAAATATGAAATTGAATTTTTCAACCAAAGCCTGGTCAGATTGCATGGACAAAGCCGTAAATGGCTTATCATTTTCAACACTATATACCCATATATATACCCATAAAGTTGTTATTATCATACAAAGTATCATAAAGTCATTGGTTGCTTGTGGGATCATATTGTGCTATGTAATGTATACATAGCTGTTTATGTTGATTACCATTTTAAAGATTTTGTGTAACTTAAAAACTTATCTTTTCATCTGTTCTGAACTTGACAGTATCATTATGAATTAATCAATGCAAGTGGACTGACATTTACTGTAACTTGTACTGTAATATGCCGTGTTCCTTGCAATGACTTAATTCAATTTAATCATTAAATGAACTTATTATACCTCCATCTTTTCCCTGTTAATTTTTCAGATATTTTATCTTTCTCTAATTTGCTGCTAGCTTCTTCACCCTCTTGTATAAGATACATAGTATGAGATCTTGGTCTTGCATGATCTTCAGATGAACTGTTAGTTTTACTTTCATGCACGATATTTGTTAATTGATGGGCCCCATTTTCATTATCCATACTTATTTGTCCGGGGACTACCACACTTTCTAACCTTTCCTCCAAATCATGCTTATGCTTGTGACGCTTCCAAATGTGAAACATATAATTTGTATCCCTATGTGTGCCATCTAGAGAAATGTTTGACAGAAAATTCTTAGCAGCCAACCGTCGAACAGACGATTTTTTCTGATGTTTCATACTCGCAGCAGCCATTTTGACACGTAAGCTTGAATAAAATTACGGGTCTCCCTATTTACCGACAAGAACCGTCAGGAACCGACAAGAACCGACAAGAGCCTATATATGACAAATAAACAAGTACAGATGTATTTTTATGATTGTTAAACATGCAGGGCATATATATATTTCATATTTGATAATTTTTTTCTTGTTAATTTATAGAAAATTAAATATATGCGTACCGACAAGAAAAATTCGAGTGCAACGCGTACTGTTACTGTTACGTTGACACCGACAAGAAAGATTTGTTATTTTCAATATGATATAAATAATATAATAAGTTGCAAAAGTTGTGGTCAGAGTATCTTATAAACATGTTTCAACCTTATTTCTAGTCATAAAATAGTTTTTCATGACATTGCATGAATGTATATGCAACCGACAAGAAAAAACCAGGGATCATGCTTACCGACAAGAAATTGAGAACGAGCTGTAGTTTCGATGTAGAACATGTTTATAATCTTTTTTTTGTAACTAAATAACTTTCATATTTAATATTGAATGCATTTAAGAAAATAATATTTGTGTTTATTCCTTTAATTATAAAAATATATTTAACAAATCGGTTACCGACAAGAAAAAAACAGGGATCATGCGTAATGAAGATTTACCGACAAGAAATTGAGAACGAGCTGTAGTGTAGAAAGAACATGTATATAATCTTTTTTTGTAATTAAATAACTTTTAAGACATTAAACTTTCATATTTAATGCATATAAGAAAAAAATATCTGTGTTTATTCCTTTAATTATAAAAATATATTTAACAAATCGATTACCGACAAGAAAAAAACAGGGATCATGCGTAATGAAGATTTACCGACAAGAAATTGAGAAAGAGCTGTAGTGTAGATGTAGAACATGTATATAATCTTTTTTTGTAATTAAATAACTTTTAAGACATTAAACTTTCATATTTAATGCATATAAGAAAAAAATATCTGTGTTTATTCCTTTAATTTTAAAAATATATTTAACATATCGATTACCGACAAGAAAAAGCAAGGATCATGCGTAATGAAGATTTACCGACAAGAAATTGAGAACGAGCTGTAGTGTAGAAAGAACAAGTATATAATCTTTTTTTGTATTTTTGAAGAAAATTGATGATGTATTTGTTAATGAAAAAACATTGAAACCTATTTCGACCCCTCCACGGGTCTCATCAGGTGGTGGTTCATTTCTCCACTAGAAGTAAAGAAATAAACAGATATCCCCACTATAGGTTTTAATATTTTATTATCATAATCATATTTCTGCATTTAACTTACGAGCAGTTACGCCACGCCAGAGGTTACAGAAATTTTTAAAACTTTTTTTAAAAATTTAAAATTATTTACATAAGTCACAGCACTGCTTTTAACTTACGGGCTTTTGGGCCGCGCCAGAGGTTGCAGAAATGTGAAAGTTCATGTACACAAGTTATGTACACAAACACAACACTGCATTAAACTTACGGGCAGTTACGCCGCGCCAGAGGTTGCAGAGATGTTTACAAAACAAATCATAACATCAAAATAAATAATAATTCTACGTAATTGTCAACACTGCTTTAAACTTACGGGCTTTTACGTCGCGCCAGAGGTTACAGTGATAACCAAATTTTGTCGGTTGTCAAATTAGTTCTAGTCCACATAATTTGAATTGGCTCTTTTTTTGCAGACTTCGTACCGAGAGGATAAAATGTTTGATTCAAAAGACCTACTGTTTTGTCCAAAATTCCATTCTTTGGTGGGTAGACCGACTGTATTGGTATTCCAATGACCGATGTTGCGGCAAGTATAGACCAAACAGATGAAAATTTATAATTTTGAGCAATATCAACGCAATCTTGATGTATGTCTGGGGCAACGCAACTCAAATTGCGGTAGTTTTTCTTGTATATATTCATGTTTTCATTCAATTCAATGCATGTTCTAACTCTGATTTCAGTTGCCAAATTTTCATGCCCAAAGAGTGCCACAGAAATTGCAACAAACAGTTCCCGTCGCCAGTGACGAAAATAGGCGATTTTAACGGGATTTCAGAACAGACAGACTCAAGTATTTGCGTTGATACTTTATCTACAGCATAATCAGAACAAAATGTGATATCGGTACGCTCAGACAATGGTTCCATATTGACTTTTCTCATCAAAATTTTTTCAACTTTCAAACCATCACCCAAAACACCAGAAGTTGCATACTTTCCGAGTCTATCTAAAGATTTCTTATAATCAAATTCCCCATTTTTGTATGAACAACTAAAGCAATGAAATTCACATGAATTTGCATCGGTAAGTGTTGCCAAATTTGCTTTAGTAAGTTTTTGACATCTGATATGAAACCATTTATCACAAGAATCACAAGCAACAACAGACTTTACACAGTTTTTGCCACAATCACCACAAGGATAAGCCATCCTGAAGAAAAAAGAGCCTCAATTAAACAATGAAAAAAAATAATATTCTTACAAAATATTTAAGAGATTAAATAAAATAAGGTTTAAGAAATATGTATTTCTTCCTTTTTATTTTTAGTTTATTTTGAATCGACTGTGTAAAACTATTATGTATATATAAATGACAAAGGTAATATAAATCTCTCACCAAATTCTGTGTGCAAGCAAATATCGCAGTGTTTCAGCTAGACTGAGAACCACAATTGTGATAAACTTTTCTTTCGTTGCTACTTTTTATATACATCTTTCTTTCACAGCTTTTCATTTCGAAATTGTTTTCGCACCTTTTCACCCCAAGCGTTTGCTATGAACAAGCGCAATACACGCTTAAAGTTTTCACAGCTTTGATTAAATTAAATCGCTCAAAGCTAACTGAGTGAGAAACACACGCGCACAAGCTTTAATTGAGTAATATCAATCAATTTTGTTTGAGCAATCGATTTTTTAATTTGTACTTGGAAAAATATTTATTTTTATTTTATGCCCTGAATATGGTATATGTATATATGTTAATAAATTAATTGAATTTATTTAATGTTTTCGTCCATTATTTTATTTTATTTCGTATATTCTTGTTGCATGCTTTACCGGTGTACTTGTGTAAATATTGTAAATGGATTATAATTGGATAATTTAAATGTCAGGTATGTAAAACTTTATATATGAAATAGATTATGATACATTTATGAAATACTATTATTTTAAACAACTATAACTGATCACTTTCATTCAATATGTTATATCTTCGTATACATTATGACTCTTTAAAGAAAACATGAAGCATGATAATATTTCTTGTCGGTACTGTAGGCATGAAAACATTTCTTGTCGGTTGACATGAACACATTTCTTGTCGGTACAGAAATATTGTCTAAATGCAGAATATTTTGTAATCAATGACAACTACAATGTTTTAAATTATTTATTGAATATAGGCTGACAATAAATCATTTGAACACATTTAAAAACCTACTCCATTGCTAGCAATAATTAATGAAACTTTCTTGTCGGTAGCCGCGAATATTCTCATAAGGTCATTCATTAATGATGATATTCTTAATTGAATTAGAAAACATTTAACATAATAATTATTATTTATAATACAAAATAATCTTAATAAAAATAAATTATGATTAAACACTTATTATACACAAATTCTTAATGTAATATCAATGATAGGAAGATGGCCGATTTCTTGACGGTGAGAAACAGAGACTGACTTCTTGTCGGTATAGATATTTGCCTATAAACATGGTTCAGAAAGGATTTATTATGTTTTTTATGTAAAAAATATTAGGAATTGTTATTATTAAATGATAACTAAGTGAAATTAATTCGTATTTTCCCATTTTTACTTCTTGTCGGTTCTTGTCGGTTCCTGACGGTTCTTGTCGGTAATTAGGGAGACCGTAAAATTACAGTTTGTAGAATATGTTCTGTGGAAATTACCGATCCGGACACTTTTTGAACATTTTTCCATACAGATCTCATAATTTTCAACTCAGAGACCTAAAAATATAACACTGCACAGCTAGGTTCTTCTCCTTACTAACAAACTAGTATGTTTGTTTCTGATTGTATTGACACTTATATCTGAAGCTCGTCAAGGAGGGTATCAAAATTACCTAAATTGTCTACACTACGTACAGTACCATGTGTCCGGACAAATATGTACATGACGTGATTTTAAAAATTCAGATATAAGCTTGCGTGTTTTATTTTTTCATTTTTAACACGATATACAATATTTCAGCAACAAATCCTGAAGGTTTACAATGTACTCTGCAAATGATTAAAGCTGGTATATGAGATCATGCATTGCTTTCTTGACGCCCTAATTTCAACGTCAGCATTCTTGAAATAGACATTGAAATATTACGGTACCATCCAGGAGGTTGAAATAAATCTATTTTCTAAATTATAGAAGAAACATTGGTTTGGTGGTTGTGCGGGTTTGGTGGTCGCCGACCAGTATGCCTCGATACCGGAATGAGGTGGGGTCATACAGAAACAGTTCAACTGCTTGTGACAATTGACGTGATTTTTTCGGCTTACAGACACTTCAGCCCCAAGACACTTCACCCTAGGCCCTTTTTTGCAGACACTTCAGCTCTCAGACAGTTAACCCCTCATTTTAAGAAATTTGATTGAGACACTTCACTCCTCTTTTTTTTATTTTGTGTTTAACAATTATTTATGTAGACTATATTAAATACATTCAATAGTGATTGAGTATGTTTATTGTTTTAACCCATTGTCTAATAAATTTTGAGTTGATTTAATTCTTGAAGTTTTGGACTTAAGTTTGTTTTCAGTTTGATCCACAGGTGTTCGGCGCGTTGATTGGTCATTATCCTCGCACCCCCCCCCCTCACCCCCACACCCACTCTACAACCCTCATACCTCACAAAACCATGTAAAATACAGTATTTTTTTCATTTGAAACATGTTTTAATATTTGGTTTATGCTTTTTATTCAATTATCTTCATTTCCCACAAAAAATAAAAATCTTTTTTGTATCCCCTTATTCATGTCGAGATTCCACCTGAAATTTACATAAATTTCAAAATTAAAAACTGAAATTTTACTGATTAAAAGTAAAAAACTATTTTTGTGTGCTAATCTATTAATATTTTATACAAAGAGGTTTTACTTCAATTTTCATGAAATCGAATAATCAAATCGAGTATTTTAATTCAATATGTCAACCCAATGATACGATGCATGCGAAATTGTATATGTTAATCAGTTAGGTATAATAACGGTTAAACTCCATCATATTATCACAAAATGAATGATAGTGTTGACTCCATCACATTTTCGAGGGCTCATTCACATTGCCGATGGCGCCAGCACCTTGTCGATGGCTCGATCACAATAATAAAAATTTGATTATTTGGTTTTCAAGTAAGTTCTGTAAGTTATTTTTTGTGTTGGTCCAAAGAGGAGGTTGGGACAATGCTATATACACGAATACATGGGCCAGCATCTACTTTACGGTAGGGAAATCACTCAAAATGTGTCTCCTCGTAAAAGAAAACCCACAAGGTTATATTTGGTAAAAGTTCTAGCAACGTCATTTTAGGGTATTTCTTATCGAAACTTCACCCAACATGATGAGAAAAATGTTCTACGTGGCATGACATTCTTCGATTTTTGAAAAACAAGCATGATCTTTTTAAATTGATATTTTTACTAAAATTTATTACCTTTTTCAGTCTTGTTTTCATCGAGGGCTCTGCAACGGAAGTGTCGATGGCTCTCATTTAAACAGATCACCAAAATGTGAAAGAGCCACCGTTTAGTAGGCGTGTACATGGAAGCAAATTTGTCATGACATGAATGAAACCCTAAACTTTGATGAGTTTTATTTGGTTAGGTTTTGATGGGAGGTTAGACTATTCTCTATTCAGAGGAAGAGCTGCTGCATATGCACAGTATTTACAGACTGTGAAGTATTTCATTTTTATTCAAAGATTAATTTTGATTTTATTAAATTAATATGTTTCAATTTTTTTACATAAACTGCTTTCATATTTTTATTTTGTAAATATATTTTTTTGTGTGCATAAAAACAGTAAATATTTTGATTTTGTGACATTAAAGAACATATCTCCAACTACTTTACCATCTATTTAAAGAAACGAATGGAGTTGATTAATTTATCACTTGATTTTTATTATAACAGGTGTTTATCAATTATTATAATAACAGGTGTTTATCAATTAATCACAACCAGAGACATATGATAAGAGTCTCTGTCACAAACCCAAAACCTTTTAGAATCTGTCAATATTAACTTTTCTCAATTTTTAGATATCAATCAATTTAACACATTTTGAATATAAGTATTTTCAGGAATATTTATTTATTTATTCTTTATTGGAGTCTCATCCATACATAACAACATAAAACAATTCAATGACATAACTTTACCAAATAAAAGTTATTTATGTACGGCCATTCTTATCAGAATTACAAGAGACTATATAAAAATAATCTAATGGAAGGGAGGCAACTCTGCAAGAATTTCCAATATAACTTACAGAGTTACCTCTCTTTTCATTCCATATTCATATGCATATTACAAATTAATATCGCTAAAATAAGAAACTATTACTAATCTTGTTCCAAAATACTTAAAGAATTTCTGGTATAATTCCTTTACAGTAAAAACCATAGTAATGTTCTCTTCATTAAACCCGTAAAAAAATAGACTGAATAGCAATAGATTTTTAACCTATAAAATCATAATGTGGATAAAATTATTTCGCATAAGATAAAACCTATATGAATAAAAATAAAACATTATTCAAATTTAAGTGACTGTACATGCATATAATGTCTTTGCCTAAAAATAAAATAAAGGAAGATTGAGGGATGATGTCGACTTGAAATATAAATCACATTAATTGTAATGATATTCAATGAATAGATATTGACAAACTTTTCAATATCTTGATTGCATTTTGTAACGTAACACAATTATATTGTTGTTTCCTTATTAATCATATTATTTCATTATTTGTAAAAAGATAAAATAAATGATAATAATAATAAAAAAAAATGTCTACACTATTTTCAATAACCCTCATTTTGTTTGAAAGTATTAACAATAATAACAATAATATTGGAGGGGAGTGGTGGCCTAGTGGTTAAGGTGTCTGCCTCTCAACACATGAATGTGGGTTCGAGCTCTAATCGGATCGCGACCATGTTTCTTCATATGACACCAGTACTGATTGGTTCCATAATAAATCAGACTCGGAAGTGTCTGTGATTAATATAAATTGCAAGAACTTGTTTCGGAATCGAGCTTAAATAAATATGTTTAAACCAAACAATACTATTTCTTTTTTGCGGGGGGGGGGGGGGGGGTAAAGATTATACTGTCGTCTGCATTTTCTGTCAGGGGAGGAAATGGTTTTGGGAAGAATCGTCATGAAAGGGGGAGATCAGTCTGTCATTCAGTTCTACGTAGCACCAAGACAGAGGCCACATGGTAATTTTCAGCCTTTGCTACCTCAGGTGCCCCTTCGTTGAGACTTTTTTTTAAAGTTAACTAACTTTCATAATTTTTTTTTGGAATAATTTGTCAGGATAACGACAACTACCGCGTAATTTAGTTCGGTGACTTAAATATTTTACAAAGAAAATCGAGCACACTTCTCGCGAAATACGATATTCGACGAGACAACAATAACCATCCTGTCATGAGAAATGTCACTTTACACATTTTTGTAGTTTTTCTCTTCCTGAATCATAATTAAAGCCTTTCAAGCTGGATTTAAACGTAATGGAACCTGCTGCGGCAGGTTCGAACCGTGTGGTTCGGGTGAATATGATGGAGGGAGTCGGAGCAAGGGTTATCCGGGGTCCTGACTGGAAGTGGGGTAAACAGGATGGGGGAGAGGGTCATATTGGCACTGTAAGAAACTTTGAAAGCCCAGAAGAGGTTGTGGTTGTATGGGACAACGGGACAGCAGCTAACTATAGATGTGCAGGCGCCTATGATCTAAGAATTCTTGATAGCGCACCTACAGGTACTGTCTGACTGACATGAACTCAGGGTTTTGCCAACACCGCGCTTCAGCGATATTCTCACTAAGAAATTGACAAAATCGCACAGTTTTCATGTGTGTGTGGAAATATAGTATATTAATCTTTGGAAAATTGCCGTATTTACTAGCCTAATTAGAGCTGTACATACTAAGTCACCTAAACTTTCTGAACTTTGCCGAGTTTGAACATCATATAGCAAAATCAACTGTGGCGCATTTTTATTTACCGCATGTACAGAACTTACCGCATGTACAGATCTTTTCGTATCGCAGAGCTTTTGTCAATAAATTAAATCCTTGACATAACTTAGAACTAAATTGATGATAACAGTTACTGCTGATAATTGGCTGCAATTAACACATTTATGTGACATGATATGCAGCTCCATTGAACAAAGTGCCTCGAGATCTGCATTATGCAATGTAAACATTGCAATGAATTGAGCATAATTAATGAGATACTTGTCATGTTTAAAATCTTACACCCAGAATTAGTCTTGCCATATTTGTTAGTAACTGCATGCAATGCCACACCAACCATGCAAATTTACATGCATAAATTAATACACAACAGGACATCTAGTTAAAAGTCTCAGCAGCGTCTTTGATACTCATTGAAAAGCAGTTGCACAAATACAGATTAGATCTCATTGATTTTTTGGAAGGGAGATTTTTTTCTCTCATTGATTTCAGGCTAGGATTATCACTGTGAAGTCATTACAGGTGTTCAGACACTTATTTGTCTTGTCTATAATGGTAGAATTATCATAAAATAATTTCTTTGATCAACATTATCAAAATTACTATCCAGAAAATAATATGAAAGTAGGCAAAGATTACGAGGGGGTGAATCAGATAAAAATTTGATAAAAATTAACATGAAAATCAATGGCAGGGTAAAAAGCATTATTCCCCTCTTTTTTTATTTTACATTTTTCACTTACTATATACTACAATAGGTGTCAGTCGAATTTCTATGCACAGTTTTTGTTCTCAATCAAAACACCTTTATGATTTCCTTCAATCTGAAAAATTGTGTTTGTGCAGTTACCAAAATAACTCACCAAAAACTTTTGCAGGAGTTTACATATGTTAATATTTATATATAAATGATTAAATCATATATTTGCTGTGAAGAATTTTCTACTCTAAAGACTTAAAAGGAATTTAGATATTTTGTTTTGAATCCTCATTGCATTTTATATGGCATTTAATTTATTCTTGCAGGATTTTGTTTATCTTTTACGCTGCAACACTTACTAGTACTAAAATGTTAGTGACCTAGGTTTTAAATTGAAACATTTTCCTACAAATTTGTCCAAATACTAACTTCATTTTGACAAAATTTTGTTTATAAAAAATTAATTCATAAAAAATATTACTGTATAAATGTATTGCTATTACAGCGACATCCAATGCAAACAGTCAGTGTAATGTTATTTATAGTTTCATAATTATTATTCATATTTTCTTGACAAAACATTTCTCTATATTTATATAGGTATCAAGCATGAAGGAACAATGTGTGATACTTGTAGACAGCAACCAATATTTGGAATTCGCTGGAAATGTGCTGAATGTACCAATTATGATCTGTGTTCTGTGTGCTATCATGCAGACAAGCATAATCTTCGACATCGTTTTTACAGGATCATAACCCCTGGAAATGAAAGGTACATTTTTCATTTTAAAGTTTGTCCTATGAAACTCAAATTTGAAGAAATATATGTTTTCTAATGTTAATCTTTGGAGTAATAGTTATTCATCTGGAGGCTTGGGAGCTGAAAAGTAGGTAGGTAGGTTTTATAAGAGTGACATTGTGTTATGTACAATATAGGAAAAATACATATATAACAAATTACAACAACCGGCCACGGTTGGACTTATAAGAGACTTTACTCTATAAACAATTCATAAATAAGATATATGATTAATTCAATAGGAAATGTTAGTTCACATACATGTATATAAAACCAAGCATCCTATTATCCATTACTAAAATACAAGATGAATTATTTTTTGGCATAATATGATTTCATAAGTAGAATATTTTTGTTTAACAGGATATGTGTTGACTCGAGACGCAAAAGTAAAAAGATCACAGTTCGAGGAATTTTCCCTGGTGCAAGAGTTATTCGAGGTGTAGACTGGCAATGGGAGGACCAAGATGGCGGGAATGGAAGGCGAGGCAAAGTCACAGAAATCCAGGTAGTATATGAAATATTTGGTAAAATAACAGGAATGCCTAGACATAGGTGTAAAGTAACTGAAATAAAGGTTTATATATATTAAATATATTTAATGACATCTGGGTAAAGTAACAAAAATACAGGCATATATGTACATAGATTTAATGAAATCTTGGTAAAGTATCTGAAATGCAGGCATACATAGATTGTATGAAATCAGAGTAATTTTACAGACATTTAGGCATCATAGATTTAATGAAATCTGTATAAATTAGCAAAAATAAAGACATACTTATTAAGTTCATTAGAATACATGACCATTACTGGAAATTATTATAGAAAAAAAAACACTAAAAAGGTGGGTGTAGGGGCTGATTTCTTGTCACATAATACTTAAGAGATATCAGCCCTTGTAAGTGAAAGTACATGCACATGGCCAATATAGACTAAAGAATTAAAGTATTACAATATTACAATATTGTAAAAAATCCAGACAACACATTCTGCTAGTTTCGACTTTAATATGTCTTCGTCAGAAATGAAAAAAAGGCGATAACGTCAACGTAATATTCAGTGTACATATATATATATGTAAATCAAGTAACTTATATATATTGACTTTGACAAAAACAACGGAATCATTTGAATGATTGAATGAAAGTTCAAATAATTTTGCTTTTCAGGACTGGAGTGCAGCAAGTCCAAGAAGTGCAGCGTATGTGCTGTGGGACAATGTAGCCAAGAATCTCTATAGAGTAGGCTTTGAGGGAATGGTAGGTATCATACAAATGTATATGTAAACTTTGCAAAGACCTGGAAAAGTTTTTCAAACATGTACTTTCAGTTATTATTTAAAATGATCAGTTAAAATCATATACATGTATACAGTTTATGTCTGATTAATCTTAAGGCTTACCTTGCTGAATTTTCATAATGGATTTATCCTGCTGTGGATTTGGAACAGTTCATTCAAATTTTAAGGGATTTCAATATCAAAATACAAAAATCTAGCTACCAATATTATAAGAACTATTGGAAGAATGGTAGCTGCATATTTTTGGAAAGCAGGTTGCACAAGTAGTCTTTGGGGGATAAACCTAGCAGTTGAATTTTATGTTCATGAATGTTTTATAACTTTTTAGTCTGTTTTCTTTATCCATGTCATAATGTGTGTTAGATATCAAGAGAAAATCTTTCTTGAAAACTCCAGATATTACTGTAAAAATATGTTACAAGTAAGATAGAAATTCCTAACTAATTTATGTATGTTGTGCCATGCACATAGTAAGTTGATACTACCAGCTAGCAGCTGTTTTATATGATACTTAACATAGTCCCCATATCACTACATAGATATTTATATATTGTTTTACATGGTATATCATTTTTGTTATTTTATAGTCAGACCTCAAGGTTGTTACAGATGCCAAAGGTGGTACAGTGTACCGAGATCATTTACCATGTTTAGGTATGTAATATTTTCAAGTTCATTTCAGCAACTTGTGAAATTTTATTATTCAAGTTCTAAGCATAACAGTAATATCAGAAAGGAAGGTTGATATTAACTTTTATATGGAATCAATACAACATTAGTAGCTCCACTGATGTCCAAAAGAATAAAAAAGACATGGATAAAGAGGGACATTTGAATAAAAAGATATGTAAAAGAGAATTAGGAAATATACTGTTATAAATTTAGAATCGTATTTGTGTGGTTTAGTAGCCCCATTAGAGTGAAAAATCTTCAGTTCAGGGTTATTTTTCCTGATTAGAATAATGATTCTGAAAAAAAGTGAGCAAACGAGATGAAATTTTTGCACAAAAGTTATTTGTCAAGACTTACATCATTTTAACAAATGGAACATTAATTCCGAAAATTTATTTCCAGCTGGGTCATGCCAAAATACCTTGGTTGAGTCCCTTTAATATTCTGTTCATTACTTTCCTTGAAAATATAAAGAAATACATATATATGTATTTGTTTAACCCATCTACTTTACTGCACACCTGAATTTGTACTGTGTAATATCATACAACAATACTTTCAAAATTAATATTGATATTTGAAGCTTATCCATTCCTGTCCCACTATTTACAGTTTGCAAAAATGGCATGGCACGACCGTGCAAACTATGTGCAAATGAATCATTTGTATGCCACTTTTCTGCCACTGATATTAAGATGATGTGATTAAATATTTTGAGCTCTTTTGCAAAAGAAACTGTTGTATAGCATTAGTTATGCTCAAACATTTTTCATTCTTTTGATTAAAAATTGACAAAAAAGCCAATGACAATGCTCATAGAAAAATAATTTGTGAAAATTGTTGAACAACATTCAGCCAAGCAGTAGTGTACTTGATGTTTGACAATGTGCTACATGTCAACGTTCTTTTCTAAAGACCATACATTATTCTTAACACATTTGAAAGTTTTTATACCCCCAAAAACGAAGTTGGGGGGGTATATAGGAGTCACCCGGTGGTCGGGCGGTCGGTCGGTCGGTAGGTCGGTCCAAACGTCCGTTGCATTTTCCTTGTCCGGAGCATAACTTGAAAACTAATGGTTGGAATTCAATATAACTACATACAAAGGTCAAGCACATTGAGAGGAAGTGCAGTGCACAAGAACCATAACTCTATCTTGACTAATTACAGAGTTATTGCCCTTTGTTACTTTTCCTTGTCCGGGGCATAACTTGAAAACTACTGGTTGGAATTCAAAACAACTTCATACAATTGTCAAACACAATAAGGGGAAGTGCAGTGTACAAGAACCATAACTCTATCTAAAGTAATTACAGAGTTATTGCCCTTTGTTGGTTTTCCATTGCTTTTTTTTGTCCGTTGCATTTTCCTTGTCCGGAGCATAACTTGAAGACTAATGGTTGGAATTTAATATAACCACATACAATGGTCAAGCACATTGAGAGGAAGTGCAGTGCGTAAGAAACATAACTCTATCTTGACTAATTACAGAGTTATTGCCCTTTGTTACTTTTCCTTGTCCGGGGCATAACTTGAAAACTACTGATTGGAATTCAAAACAACTTCATACAATTGTCAAACACAATAAGGGGAAGTGCAGTGCACAAGAACCATAACTCTATCTAAATTAATTACAGTGTTATTGCCCTTTGTTGCTTTTCCATTGCTTTTTTTTTTGTCAGGACCATAACTTGAAGACTAATGGTTGGAATTCAATATAACTACATTCAATGGTCAAGCACATTGAGAGGAAGTGCAGTGCATAAGAACCACAACTCTATCTAAAGTAATTACAGAGTTACTGCCCTTTGTTACTTTTCCATTGGTTTCTTTTGTCCGGACCATTACTTGAAGACTAATTGTTGGAATTCATTATAACTTCATACAATGGTCCAGCACATTGAGAGGAAGTGCAGTGCACAAGAACCATAACTCCATCTTGACTTATTACAGAGTTACTGCCCTTTGTTTCTTTTCCTTGTCCAGAGCATGACTTTAAAACTACTGGTTGGAATTCAAAACAACTTCATACAATGGTCAAACACAATAAGGGGAAGTGCAGTGCACAAGAACCATAACTCCATCTTGACTAATTACAGAGTTATTGCCCTTTGTTACTTTTCCATTGCTTTCTTTTGTCCGGACCATAACTTGAAGACTAATTGTTGGAATTCATTATAACTTCATACAATGGTCAAGCACATTGAGAGGAAGTGCAGTGCATAAGAACCATAACTCTATCTTGACTAATTACAGAGTTACTGCCCTTTGTTACTTTTCCTTGTCCAGAGCATGACTTTAAAACTACTGGTTGGAATTCAGTACAACTTCATACAATCGTCAAGCACAATAAGGGGAAGTGCAGTGCACAAGAACCATAACTCCATCTTGACTAATTACAGAGTTATTGCCCTTTGTTACTTTTCCATTGCTTTCTTTTGTCCGGACCATAACTTGAAGACTAATTGTTGGAATTCATTATAACTTCATACAATGGTCAAGCACATTGAGAGGAAGTGCAGTGCATAAGAACCATAACTCCATCTTGACTAATTACAGAGTTACTGCCCTTTGTTACTTTTCCTTGTCCAGAGCATAACTTGAAAACTACTGTTTGGAATTCAGTACAACTTCATACAATCGTCAAGCACAATAAGGGGAAGTGCAGTGCACAAGAACCATAACTCCATCTTGACTAATTACAGAGTTATTGCCCTTTGTTACTTTTCCTTGTCCAGAGCATAACTTGAAAACTACTGTTTGGAATTCAGTACAACTTCATACAGTTGTCAAGGACATTAAAAGAAAGTGCAGTGCACAAGAGCCATAACTCCATTTTGACAAAATACAGAGTTACTGCCCTTTGATACTTTTCCTTGTCCGGAGCATAACTCAAAACGTACTGGTTGGAATTCAAAACAACTTCATACAATGGTCAAGCACAATAAGAGGAAGTGCAGTGCACAAGAACTATAACTCTATCTTCAGTATTTATAGAGTTATTGCCCTTTGTTCTTTTTCTTTGTCTTTCTGGACTTATTACAGAGTAATTCAATTAAACTTCATCAATGGCCAACCACATTGAAAGGAAATGCAACATACATGAACCACAATTATCTTTAATTGCCCACAACCATAACCCTATATTTCAATTCTTTTACAAGGTATTCTATTACTACTAACATCCTCATTTCCGAAGCAGACTTGTGGGGGTATTAATCACATTTAGTGATAGTTCTAGTTTAATTAGAAAGTGGTGGAAACCATGTTAGAATAGTTAATATCAATAGCTTTTTAATGGGAATTGGAGACATTGTGTTTAAAAAATTTGAATATATTCGTGGCAATTATGTTATAAGCATGTTTGTTAAAGGGACTCCACTGAGGTCCAAAAGCCTTAAATTATAACATTTGAATTTCTTATATAGATCAATCTGTGCACTTCAAACAGAAACATATGTAAGTGATAATCAAAAAAATATACTTGAAATAAATTGAAAATGATATTTTGTGCTATTTTAAGCCCGATTTGAGTTAAAAGCATTGCAATTTGCAACCCTTTTAAATTTTAGGCCTTTTTCAAAATTAGAATAATTATTCTGAAAAAATGGAATAAGCGAATGATCTAAAATTTTGTACACAGAGTATTTGTTTACAGCACAATCAAATGGAACATTAATCTCGGAAATTATTTCCAGTCCATTCATGTTGAAAAAACCTCAGTTGAGTCCCTTTAATATCAATGAATCACTATACTTACAGGTGAACAAGGTCCAGGATCAAGATCAGGTCCTGGTGGTCTTGCAATTGGTGATCAGGTTAATGTAGATTTAGACTTTGAAATAGTTCAGTCTCTCCAACATGGTCATGGTGGATGGGCAGATGGAATGTTTGAAGTAAGTTTGCTGTCTTTTAGGATATATTATGCTCAAATTTGATATCTGAAAATACACAATGTACTGATAATTGCTATATAGTCTTTTTTTTAAAGTAAAAGAAACATTTTGGAATACACAGAGAAAATGTTATGTTTAATACTCTAGATACTAAGTAAATAAACAACAAAAAACTTGGGAAATTTTTTTAGGAAAATAGCTGTTTACATTCATATTTTGGTAAAATTAAGTTTTCCAATAAATACTAAAAAAAACCTCTACCTGGTATATTGTATAACTAAATTTTATCATATATTACAGTGTTTAGGACAGACAGGGACAGTGGTTGGTATTGATGAAGATCATGATATTGTTGTATCATATTCTAGTGGAAATAGGTGAGACAATCATTCTTGTATCACAGGTTGGCAGTATCAATTGTTGTTTTTCTGCAAATTTTATGGCAATATATTCGGCTGTCCTTTCCTCAGAAGTAGATATGAGGCAATATTCGACTATCCTTTTCTGAGATGTAGAGCAAATAATTTCCCCCTCTGCTGAAGTTTACAAAACTATGTTGTTTTAGTTCACCTGAGCCCAATGTGCTTGTTAACTACCATTATCGGCAATTTCTTTAAGGAACATGTCCTCCTAAACCACAAGGTGGGTTTTGACCAAACTTCACAGAAATCAACCTAAGTAGGCCTTCCCTGCTACAGAAGTTATACAAATGTATAAATGGTTCCAGTCTGATGTGTAAGTAGGTCACTAGAGCTACAATGAAAAAAAAAATGAAATGATATTTAATGAAATGTTTTAACCATGCTTGAAATTTTTATTTACTAAGAATAAACTGTACTGTATCATTTATGGTTCTGTACTGTTGACTGATGAACTTAAATTTTTGAGATGATATCTTTGAAGATTGAAATGGACAGTTTATAAGCAATATTTCAGAATTTAGGAGGAATAAGATGCGTCAGTTTATTAAGAAGTATTACTTCCCTTAGATAATCTGTGTTATTAAAAAGTTTAAAAAAGACCTCATAAAGGTTAAGTAAGTTCAAAAAGTCTTGTATCAAAAATTGCAGGTCTGTTTTTTTTTTAGAAGAAAAAAAGAGAGTTTTATGTGTGATAATTTGAACGGTACATAGATATTTTTGTAAACTTTGGCTTTCCGTTGTCATTTGGTTAAAGTTGCTTGCTACAAGTCAATTGCAGCATATAGTTATGTACTTGAATCTTGCCACAGCCCAGGGATGCTGAAGTTTTACATGTCAACTGGTTTATTAAATGGTGAATGGTTCCTTTTAAGTGCTCACTCCTGTCTGAAATAATGCTCAAAGAGGACTGTACTGTCTTTATCCACCTGTAATATTTGTTAATCTCCATATCGTCAGGCCTCATGTTTATAAAACTATTTTCTGAGCTTCGTCTCAAAGTTCTGGATTTTTATTGGCCAGTGTTTATTGTGCGCATATTTCTTACCAATTACTTACAGTACCTGAGATGTGAGTCTGAGCTGAGAAAACTCCTTTACAACCTCAAACCCTGGTCAATTAATATGTTTTCAAAACTCGAAATAAAAAATGTGTATAGAATTATATAATGTCTACCATTCCTTCAAAGAATTTTTATATCATTTTAGATGGACGTTTAACCCGGCTGTATTGACCAAAGTAAGCACGCCTAGTAGTACAAACTCAGCCACTAGCGAGAACGGCACTAACCTCGGAGCCACGGGCTCGACAGCCACTCCACAGTTTGCAGTAGGAGATCTTGTACAGATACTGAACGATGTGGAGAGAATTAAAGTCCTTCAACGAGGGCATGGAGAGTGGGCCGAAGCTATGATGCCTGTAAGTTATGTTAAATCTTTTCTTTTAATTTAACATGCATGTTTGTGTGATTGAATTTAACACAGGAGGTTCAGATTTTGTCTTGTGAGGAAGACATCTGGCAAGCTTAGGGGAAAAAGGTGAATGGGCTTCTTTGATCTTCCTCCTTTTGTAAAACTGTCTATATATTTATTGTTATATTTAGAAGTTTAATTTTTACAGGGCACAGGCATTTTGTTCATTTGTCTGTCCAGTAATTATAGGAAAAGCATTAAATTATCTCCCTTTAATATTCAATGACACTATATTGATCAATAAAGAAAGATTATTTTGTCACTAATATCATTCCTGACTAGACAAATAAGCTAAATGCTTGCTCTGCAGATCTTATTAAAAGTGTAAAAATATCTCCGAAGACAGTTAAAAGATTGAGCACTTATGGGATAATTGTTAGGTCAATTTCAGTGCTCAACAAAGTTTCATTTTGCAAGACTGTTCATTTTTGAGAACTACCGCTTTTATGTTCATTGCTGTGATCTGCTGATTTCAAATGAAAAAATAGAAAAATTGAAAATAAAATGGACAACCTCTCTTTTGTATTCTTTTATTTTGTGATCAATAAATGGAAAGGCAGTATATCTTTCACAACAAACACACACACAAAAATAGTGATCCCTGAACTAGACTCTATCCTGCAGGCTACTCAATTATATATTTTTAGCCTTTTGGTATTTAAAAAAAGCAAACAACAACAACACAGAAATAAAAGTCTGTTTCAAAGTCTAAACAAGTCTGTTATAGTCATTTATGAACGTTAAATGTTAAAAATGCTAATATTTCTCGTCTTTTTTTCAGACATTGGGTAAAATTGGTCGTGTACAGCAAGTGTATCATGACAATGATTTGAAGGTAGAAGTTTGTGGTACATCATGGACATATAATCCTGCAGCTGTAACAAAAGTAGCTTCATCTGATGGTGCAGCCATAGGGAACTCATCCGGAGGTAGTTTATTTTTTGTCTTTAAGTCTAAAAAGTTATGACACTTGGAGAGTTATGACCAACCTATTTATTCAAGCATCTGATTGTTGTTTGTATAATATATTTACGATAACTTAATTGTGAAGAAAACATTAAGCATTCTTGCATTTCCTCTGAGTTGGTTTCCTATGTCAACCTGCTTAGCTCAATAGGTAGAATATCAGATTTGTTATCCCAGGGGTCAGTGATAAGATCCTCAGGCAAGGCAAAAGTTTTCTGTGACAATTTATCTTGGACATGAGGTCTAATGGCCATTTTTAGCTCACCTGTCACTTTGTGACAGGGTGAGCTTTTGTGATCGCTTTTCGTCCGGCGTCCGTCCGTCGTCCGTCCGTCCGTCCGTCCGTCCGTCCGTCCGTAAACTTTTGCTTTAAATGACATCTCCTCATAAACCGCTGAGCCAATTTCATCCAAACTTCACAGGAATGTTCCTTTGGTGGTCACCTTTAAAAATTGTTCAAAGAATTTAATTCCATGCAGAACTCTGGTTGCCATGGCAACCGAAAGAAAAATCTTTAAATATCTTCTTTTAAACAACCCTAAAAGCTAGAGCTTAGATATTTGGCATGAAACATCTTCTGATGAGTGTCTACCAAGTTTGTTCAAATAAAAGCCCTGGGGTCAAAATTGGCCCCGCCCCAGGGGGTCATAGATTTTCCCTATATGCATATAGTAAAAACTTAAAAAATCTTCTTTTAAAGAACCCAAAGAGCTAGAGCTAAGATATTTGGCCTGAAACATCTTCTAGTGAGTGTCTACTAAGTTTGTTCAAATAAAAGCCCTGGAGTCAAAATTGGCCCCTCCCCGGGGGGGTCATTGATTTTCCCTATATGCATATAGTAAAAACTTAAAAAATCTTCTTGTAAAAAAAACTGAAAAAGCTAGAGCTTAAATAATTGGCACGAAACATCTTCTAGTTAATGTCTACCAAGTTTGTTCAAATAAAAGCCCTGGGGTCAAAATTGGCCCTGCCCCAGGGGGTCATAGATTTTCCCTATATGCATATAGTAAAAACTTAAAAAATTCTCTTTTACAGAACCCAAAAAGCTAGAGCTAAGATATTTAGCATGAAACATCTTCTAGTGAGTGTCTACCAAGTTTGTTCAAATAAAAGCCCTGGGGTTAAAATTGGCCCCCCCCCGGGGGGTCATTGATTTTCCCTATATGCATATAGTAAAAACTTAAAAAATCTTCTTTTAAAGAACCGTAAGAGCTAGAGCTTAGATATTAAGCATGAAACATCTTCTAATGAATGTCTACCAAGTTTGTTCAAATAAAAGCCCTGGGGTTAAAATTGGCCCCCCCGGGGGGTCATTGATTTTTCCCTATATGCATATAGTAAAAACTTAAAAAATCTTCTTTTAAAGAACCGTAAGAGCTAGAGCTTAGATATTAAGCATGAAACATCTTCTAATGAATGTCTACCAAGTTTGTTCAAATAAAAGCCCTGGGGTCAAAATTGGCCCCGCCCCAGGGGGTCATTGATTTTCCCTATATGCATATAGTAAAAACTTAAAAAATCTACTTTTAAAGAACCCAAAGAGCTAGATCTAAGATATTTAGCATGAAACATGTTCTAATGGGTGTCTACCAAGTATGTTCAAATAAAAGCCCTGGGGTCAAAACTGGCCCGCCCCGGGGGTCATTTATTTTCCCTATATATATGTATAGCAAAAACTTAAAAATCTTCTTTGAAAAAACCCAAATAGCTAGAGTTTAGATATTAAGCATGAAACATCTTTAAGTAAATATCTACAAAGTTTGTTCAAATAAAAGTCCGGGGGTGAAAACTGGCCCAGCCCAGGGTTTCATTGTTTTTAAACTATATGTGTATAGTAAAAACTTAAAAAATCTTCTTTTAAAAACTCAATGAGCTAGAACTTAGATGTTTAGCATGAAACATCTTCTTATGGGTGTCTACCAAGTCTGTTCAAATAAACAAATAAAAGCCCTTTGGGTAAAAATTGGCGCGGGGGGGGGGGGGGGGGGGGCTATATACAGGTGAGCGACCTCAGGGCCATCATGGCCCTCTTGTTCAGTTTCCCTGACTTAGTCAGTGCTGATTTCATATAGGGAATCATAGTTTTGTTCCCAGTTGGGCTTGAACCTACAGTCCCAGGATTAGAGACAGATACCTTAATACCTGAATACCACTGGACCACCTCTCCACCCTAGTTACAAGTACCAAACTGTCAAGTATTAATGATAGAGTCTGTTCAAAAAGTTAGCTGCAAATAAACACATTTTATTGCTTTCGAAACATTATACCTACTTCTATAATTTTTGCAGTTTGCTAGTAAGTGCTATGTATATTTGTATAATAGTGCATTTAAATACTTATTATAACATTGTATGAAACATTGTATGAATTCAGAGAGGCTTAGTGCATTATTAAAGAAACTATTTGAGACACATGTATCTGGTGACGTGAACGAAGAACTGGTGAAAGCTGCGGCAAACGGTGACTCTTCAAAAGTAGATGAGATTCTTCAAAGATCTGATGCTACAGTTAATGTAAGTAGTGGTTGCTTGTTTAAAAACCTAACATTGGTGTGAAACATTTAGCAGGGTTTTCTTTATGTTTGAGAGAAGCATGGTCATTTAAAACTAAGTGTATAATAAAGGGATGTAACAGAACAATAGAGCCGCGTCACGACAAAACCAACATAGTGTGTTTGCGACCAGCATGGATCCAGACCAGCCTGCGCATCAGCGCAGTCTGATCAGGATCCATGCTGTTCGCTATCAGTTTCTCTACTAGTTATAGGGTTTGTAAGCGAACAGCATGGATCCTGATCAGACTGCACGGATGCGCAGGCTGGTCTGGATCCATGCTGGTCGCAAACGCACTAAGTTGGTTTTGTTGTGACACGGCTCAATACTATATGTAACCGGTGGTCTATAAATATTTGCAGGGGATTTTACCTTTGCTAAATGCTCATAGTGCTGGGATTGTTTTTGCTTATTTTCTAGCCGTTATTCGGACATATTCCCAATTAAAATTAGAACATGTATATTATTTTCCCAATCCACAGGAAAAAATTCCCAATTGAAAGTTACAAAATAAAAATATTGAATAAAAAATTATAAAATCTATGAAAATAAGTGCTTCTTCACTGTTATAGTGCTTAAATGTTTGAAGATGCCATTCTAGACAGTGATTGTTTGCATTCATTTATTCTCTGCAAACTTTTATTCATGATTTTCTCCCAATCTTTAAGAAAACATCGCTGAAATTCCCTATTCCCAAGGTATTGGTCATGTTCCCAAAATCCTGGAAAAAAGTCCTGTAGTGAAACATCTGATTTAGGTATAACTGTAAATGGTAAAATACATTTGTCAGCCTTGATGCCCGGAGTGAGTAAAGTTGTTGATCCTTTTCTTCTATTAGTTTGAGTCCTGGCAGAGGTGTGAAGCAGCTGATTTAAGGTTTTTGATCTTCTCATGTACCAGCAAGTGTTAATTATGCATAGTAGCATCTGCTGGTATTCTTTCTCAACCAATATTAAAGCTGGAAAGAGATCATATGAATTTTATTGCAGACGCCAATTAAAACTTGTTAAAAAAAAGAACAGTTTTGCATTTCAAAGAAAATGTCATAACTAAGGACTGCCATATAACTAAATAGCCATGCAGAAGAACATTGCAAATTAAAGAATGTGCATTTGTTTTTCAGAAAGGTGAATTTTATTAAAATCTCATGTCTTTGACTAAAGATAAAAAATGTTTATTAAAAGGGTCTTCAGTAAGTCCTACAATTTGATTTGCGTCCTTTGACTTAGGCAGCTTGGCTACACTTAGGACATTCCATGAAATGCAGCCCCATTTGTGATTTGATATTAATAGTTAACATAAATGGGACTTGCTTGATAATACAGTTTTTTTTAAAAAGACTTTTTGTCGTTGAGAAAAGCTTTTGATATACTTGTATAATAATGCTGCAGTTGCAAGTCTGAACTATTGATTTATATAAAATAAACATTGTACATATGTTTAACACCTGTTACAGAAATTTGTCATACAGAAGAATGAAAAACTCCATTAAAGTAATCATTTAGTTACTGAGTAACAGTTTTAAAGATTTTGTAAATGCAAGGCTGCAAATATATGTCAAAATCTTTTATTTCTTTAAAATTTCGGGAAAAAAACAAACTCTCTTTGCTTTTAAAGCAGTGATATTAGATGTAAGACCTATGCAGTTTCATATGTTGCATGATTTTTTCTCGCATTCTAAGGAGCTCCCCCTGAGGTCCAAAAATATAAAAAGATGAAAAATTAATTCTTACATAGATCAACAGGGGACTTAAAATGAAACAATATGCAAAGAGATACTTTAAAAAAAATTATATGTTAAAAAAATACAATCTGTTATGAATGATATATTATTATAAACTTCTATAGTTTGTGTCACATTCATTTGGCTTCTGAAATAGATGTCTGAGGTAATAATTTGTTTGTGTTACTTTAGGTAAATGGAGTATTTGCAGGACATACAGCTCTACAGGCTGCTTCACAGAATGGCCATGTTGATGTTATTAAAGTTCTTATGAAGTATGACCTTGACATGGAAATTGAGGTATGATTGTTGAGAGTTATGAAGATCTAAATTTATAATACGTTCATATAAAATCTGTTATACATTGGTAATAAATAAATAAAAAATATATGGTTTGTGCCTGGAATAATGCACAGAGGGGCACCTAAGGTCTTCCTCTACCAGTAAAGCTGGAATGTCACCATATGACCTGTACTGTGTCTGTGTGAAGTAAAGTCCAACAAAAAGAAATTAAAGAGAGAGAAAAAAACAAGAATAAAAAATTCAAGTTTGTTTCATTTTTAATTCAGTTCCCTGTAGAAGTTTTTGTATAAAACCCATAATAATATCAAACTGCAGCATATGTTTCAGTAACAAATTTCAAACCACTTAATGGATACTTCTTGATTCACTTAATGATACTTGTTCAAGGTTTAGTCGAGATTATATAGAATCACTGTAGCTAATATATATAATCATCACATAAACCAGGGTATAGGAATGTTATAAAGGCATTAAATAAAAATAATATTACACTAGTGTAATAATACTTTGAAATGACGTCATTTGTGCTATATAAAGTCGCACTAATCACACTATAGGCAGGTCATTTAAAAATGACTCTTTTTCACTGTAAACTGTTCTTATTTCAGATATGTAATTACTAGAAATATCATATTCGTGTAGGTTCAATACTATATTGAACTCACTGAATATAACAAAGTTATACTCACCAGAGGCCCGCATAACATGATTTTATTCAACTCATTTAATAGATTATTAAATCTACACTCATCCAATATTCTCTATATATAAATTAACTTGGTATGTTTTAAAGAAAAAAAATCACACAATTATTGCTATAATACATTGTATATATCTAGGGACAGAAAGAGGTCACCCCTTCTCTTGTCAAGTGGTCTATGTCAGATGATATATATGTATATTATCTTTTATACAGGATAAAGATGGCGATAGAGCAGTACACCATGCTGCTTTCGGTGACGAGCCAGCAGTTATTGAACTCTTGCATCGTGGAGGTGCCGATCTTAATGCACGTAACAAACGTCGCCAGACACCACTACATATAGGGGTCAATAAAGGTCATATAGGTGTTGTGAAAGCCTTGCTGGAGATTGGATGTCATCCTAGTTTACAAGTATGTTTTTTAATTCACAAATGTTCAGATTCAGTGATTTTGGGTATTTTGAGTTACTTCCCTTAAATTGTTTAACTACTTGCTTAATAGAGGTTTGCATAGTAGGGATAGTAAGAATGCTGTCTCTCACTCATTTGCCCTCATTCATTCATTGCTGTAGATTATTTTAATCTTTTATTGCAATGTGTATTCAATTTCCATGAAAGGACGCTATTTAGCCAGTTTACCTGTTGGTGTCTGAAATTTATGCACTTAGAGGTATCTCTAGGCATCCAGTCTAAATGAAGCCAGAAAGGTGCCTTTTGACCTTGATACACTAGTGTGGCTTTAAACCCAACCAATTAAACACATTTCTGAAAAAAACCTTTTTGCTTCATGTTTATAGCAGTCAAGAGGTGATATGAAATGTACAGTATCGGAAAATTTTCCAAAAAGATGTTAATATATAATTTGAAGTTGCTTCCCTTTAATTGATTTAACCCTTCCAAAACTTATATAATATTATAACTGATAAGTAAAGTTCCATTTGATGCTTGATAATTTTCAGGTTTTTAGAAAGTCTTGAATTGTCTGATAAAACCTTACCGTAATTTCATTACGGTTTAATTTTCAAAAAAAGTTTATCCTTTAAAACCTAGATAGATATTTCTTATTCTTGTAATCTGTATATGTAATTATTGGTAAAGCTTGGTAAAGAGTTCTCACATTGTAAAATTCCTAACATTTTTGAGATATAAATGTATTTATGAACTAAAATTATTTCTATGTATCATGGTAACATGTCATGGCAATTGCTTTCTGATATTTATATTTCCCCATTCAAGCTAATTCTTTCAAGTGAATAATTTAGATACCTTACTGAAGCTTGGTGTTTCTACTGCTTTCTACTCATATAATGCACAAAAAAGCTTAGGATGTCAACCTCTACCAGTGAAGGTCAGAAAGTGACTATGTGATCTAACTAATGTTGTAGTGGAAGTAATTTAAGACCGAAGAGAAAAACCAAAATAATCAAATAGATTGTTGTTGTATTGACTGATATTTTACATCAACATATGGTGATATCATTACTATGTAGGATTCTGAAGGTGACACGCCACTTCATGATGCCATCAGTAAAAAACGTGATGACATGATATCGCTGCTTCTTGAGTTCCACGCTGACCTGACAATCACGAATAACAACGGGTTTAATGCTCTACACCATGCTGCGCTCCGAGGAAATCCCAGGTAAGTGCCGCATGAAGTGTGGATTGCATGTTGTCCGGTACATTTGTGTACAATCAAACATTTCCCTATAGGCAATTCTTCAGACCATTATGAAAAGAATTGAATTTATGGTTTTAGTAAATATGCCTTGCAATACAAAATTGTTTGGTGCTAAACATTTAGGTTAGTAAGATTTTAAAAGTAATTATGACTTGAGCACAGGTTGGTCAGTATATGCATAAAATTTTTACCTGATAATGCAGACAATATATCAGCCTTGATAGATGATATGACATTATACCTCATATTATATTAATGTGTTCAGAAATTTGTCACCCCCAGTGAGTGACTAATGTTTACAGTTTTAAAAGTATTACTCAAACAACAGTGGTATGGTGTTCGTACTTACTGATATAAAGAAGATGGCATTTTTTAAAAAAAGTATTGCCCTTCATTTTGTTGCATTTTGTAATTTATGGATTTCTCATGAGTGGTTTTCTCCATTTAATTAAGAATACATGACAGAGTCAAAGGTGACCTTTAAGTTTGAACTCGCCTTCCTTTTCAGTTATTTTAACGAAATGCTAGAATTATCATTTCAACCATGTTTAATTACAAACAAAATTAAGACTTATATAACCCTGCTGCAAATTTGAATAATATTTGGGAAATGTTTGGGAAAAATCATCCTGACAGAAGAGTTAGATCACTTTTCCATTTGGGTTCGACTTTGGGGAATAATGTGTGTGGTAAATTCACACATAAATAAAAATGATTGTGACAGTCTATTGTCTTAGCACACAATGCTTAGAAATTACGCAGTTTGTAGCATGCTCTTGTATTTTACCATTCTTACCTCATGAATTGGCATCCATTCAAAACATGTTCGGTATTTAAATGTACCTTCGCAAAAATCTGCGTCTTTGATATGTTTCCAGTAAATGTCAAACAAGTAGTGTTAATCTACAGAAAGACATTTGCACCTCGTTTGTTTAATGATAAACTCATGTTAATCTTTCATGTTTATCAATTTTAATTATCTCTCGTGTGTTTATCTTTGACACACCGTAGATGAGTATCAGTGACTTAAAATTTAAAAAAAGATTTATCAAGAGTGCCAAAACATAATGAAAATATATCCAAGTTTCATCTTTAGACGATAAAATTTTGCGTCTGAAAGTTCGAATTTATTTCCTTTTTGATATAACAGTATAATGTAACAATTTGATTTAATCATTTCAGCCAATTTAAGTTTTTAACCTCAGATACACTTGATGGTGTGAAAATATTTGAAAAATCTAATATTAGGCAAAGGGTTATCAATAGTAGGTGTATTTAACCTTTTTAGTAAGTTGATACTCAATTCATGGAGGTTTTAAATGTCTATTATCTCTTTTACAGTATGAAATACAGACCTCCTGTACAATTTGGATATAAATATTGCATGTTTAACAAACATTTATTATAAGATCGATAATGAATCTAGTAGTTATTATCATGGTGAACTTGAATCCGTATATTTAAAAAATATCCTTCTCTTTTATTTGCATCAATATTTTATTGTTGTTTGAAAACACCATAATTATAATCATAATCATAGGCGTTACCTTTCTATTGCCTTATTTTAGGGTGAAACTTGTTTACATTTTAAACTATTCTTATCATCATTGTTGTTGTCATCATCATCATCATAACAATGATCATCAGTATATTGTTGTTTTCATCATCATTGTTATTATCATCATTATTTGCATCATTATTTGGCCCTCACCGCTGTGGGTTCGATTTGAATCCTGACAGGATTCTTTCATAAGAGGAAGCTATCCAGCTAGCTTATGGAACGTTGGTTATACTCAGTGCTTGTTTGTGCCTGAAATAATACACAGAAGGGGGCCTGAGGTCTTCCTCCACTAGTCAAGCTGGAACATTGCCATATGACTTATACTGTGCCAGTGAGACTTTAAACCCAATCAAACATCATTATTATCAGCATTTTCACTCCTATTTTTATAATCATCATCATCATTTTCATTATGTTTATTAATTATCATCTTTTAAAGATAAAAACCATCATCATCAATCATCATTTCTTAAATATCCATCATTGTATCATCAGGGTAGGAAAGTCGGCAATTCTCATAAAAAATACATTTTAACCAGAAACGTATCCTTGTATCCTCATATAACTTTAATGGATGTTTCTCATCAATTTGACCTTTCACCTCTGAACTGACTTCACATCTTCGCTCAATTTAATTTGATTGGCATATGAAGTGTGTGTTTCTAATTAGTGTACTCTCAAAGTGAAATAGCTGGTACCCACTTGAAATAAAGTGCCTGGTTTCCATTTTCTTTACATGATTTTCAGTAGCAGGTCTATATATATATATATATATATATACATACTGAATCCTAGCGGTATTCCCGCCAAAACTTTACCACACATAGTCTGTGTTGTTCTTTTTTAGCCCAAGTGTTATGATTTATGAAATTTGTGAATTTACTGTATTTGATTGTTATAATCAAGCTGTATTTGATTGTTATAATCGAGAAATTTATTTAATAGGGAACGATCTGAGATAAGCATCGTATACGTCACTGATAAGAGACCTGTTCTAAAAATAGCCACATATCGATAACTTTCGGACAAGGAAACTGGTTAATCTACATGTAGATTATACAACATGTAATGGTTACGAATACTTTTATTCACATTTCTCTCAATGGAAATGATGTTCCTGGAGTTAAACTTGCGTAAAGCATGATTGAGATGGTTTAAAAACATTAGGAAAATAAAGATGATAAGGTGAAAAAGAAATAACCTTTGGGGCAATACTTTCCCTGCATGTCAATTTGAGAAAAATGCCGGCGCTTGGCAATTTGTTTTTGTTTCACTGTTTATCAAAATTAGAAATGGTGATATGATATGGTATGATTTTAAGAAATTGGGACTAAAAATGAAAAGTATCTTTCTGTCCCAGATATACCGTACAAAATTTTGTTTCTATGTAAAATACGCAGATTAGAGAAGTCATGAATCTATCCACCAAAGTGCTACGAGTATTAGATTAATGATTAATATCTTAAATTAATTCTTTAATAATTTTAGAATAAGCAAAACTCTGCATTTTTCCTATTTTACCTAATAAAAAATGCTGATTCTAGTAGTTACTTTTAATATCAGAAATAATGTATACGTACATGCATGCTTGCATGTATATTTAAACTGAATTGACAATTGAGGTCCGTGATTTAACATACACTGTTTACGTATAGACAATAAAATACATTTGTTTTTTATTTTATGTCTCACACAAAATATTTGTTGTTAAAATCATCGCCAATTTAGAATTACTGGTGCATTTTTTAAACTTCGCCTCATCAATCAAAAGAGCCAAACTTTTTTTCTGCCTGAATGAAAAATTGATTATGACAAAAACTGTTTTATTGACAAATACAGAGGCCAGAGCAGATTGTGACATATGTTTCAAAAGTATTGTGTAGTTGTCCCTTTTCTTTTCACACTATATTCCATTTCCAACTTGTTTGCATTCTACAATTTCTTAAAATATTGCATGTAAACAAAGTAAATATACGCTGATTAACATCATGTATAATGTGTACTCCCTAATCCCTTGTCCGAAAGTCAGTACAGGTGATGTAGTGGTGATAAGGTAAAATCTATTTTTAGAACAGTGTTACCTTCAGATCAAATCCAGATCGAAGGCTATTAGATAAAAAATGCAGTCTTTTAGGATCATTAAAAAAAATAAACAACAACAAAAATGCTCGCTTTATGGTATTGGAATATGCCTCCTTTTTTCCAGATATAAATTTTTTGAAAAAAAAAAAGTCTGCTAATTATTCTTAATACATGTACCGGTACATGTATATATAGGGTTTTAGCTACATCTTTGAATAGGGTAGGATGAGTGTTTCCACTGATGTGTTCACATTTTATGACATTTTCTCTGGCAGACAAAAAGTAACTGAAGATATAAAACTGTCGGCAGCATGTTTACATTGCAGGAATATTTCTCTTCTGCCGAAGTAATTGACCCCAGTTTCCTGTATGTGATTCTTTTATTTGCTTCTAATTAACACCTATTTTTGTAGACAAAAAGATGAAATATTTAGAATAGAGGCTCTATTGTATGGCAGGGGAAAAGATGCAGTTATGCATACAAAAATGTAGACAGTTTAGACAATTGGTATATTTTCTGTCAGTTTGTAGGTCAAAGTTGAAAGCATACAAGAATAAAATTAGAAATTGATGGTTTTCTTATAGTGTTTAAGGGACATGATGGGACTGGAAATAATTTTTTGGGATTAATTTTAATGTTGTTTCATGTTGGTCTAGATAAATAACATGTGTGCAAAATCATTTGCACTCTCTGTTTCTCTAGAATAATTTTTCTTATTGTGAAAAATGACCCAAAATTGAAAAGCATACGTGTGGCTGAACTAATATACAAAGTGGCACTCCACCAGTAATGCTGGAAAGGCGCAATTTGACTATTACTGTGGCATTGTGACTTAAAAAAAGGACAGAGTCTGTTTAGACTGCCCAGACATGTAGACTGACTGGTGGTATAGAGATGGCATTATTGTCATATATTTGCTTAAATCTCCTTCCTACACTTTCATCATGTCAAATTATTTGTACTTTAAGTTATTTGCTACTTTACAAGAGGAACGCTGTACAATCCCTGTGTTAAAGGTCCGCCTGACTCCGCCACAACAATCATTAGGGGTTTTAGCACCAAATTTATAAATCATCAGATAACACAGGTGTTCAATCTGACTTTGTTGTATACTTGTGGTTATAGGTAATAAATTACTTTAAAAGGGTCAAAAATCGAACATTGTTTTGCAACCTACAGGGAATATGTATTATCTACACATAACTTAAGAATCACAACTCATTCCCAAGTGTTATTTCTCTTTGATGAAGATAATTTTGATGTATGAAATAATATGGATGATATGAAGGGCACTTTTTTGTATGAAATACTATAAATATCATACTGTAAAAAGTATTTCCTTGTCTGCTAGATTGTTTGTTCATTTTTACCAGTTTTGACATACAGATTTTTCATGCAGATTCTAAAGTTACTGTCCATTTGTACATATAATTGAAACCACATTTTGTGACCTTAAAGCTTGAAAATAAACAAAAGCCATATTTTGTAACCTAGAGCCACAATAAAGATCTAAAGCTGATGGGAGAACCAGATGTGCTGAGCCAGAAACTTTAAAGACTTTGCTAATTAAACAATGGAAGATCTTAAACACATGTGCATTAACTGGTACACATTTTTGTAGGATTTTATTCTCCCTTTTCAATAAAGGG